AAACAAGGCTGCTCGAAGACTCAATAGCAAACAAATAACTTGATTATATAAGAGTTAGGGAGTCGGGGATAATCATTTTTGGTTCTTGACTCAATTACCGGGCAATCAATTGCTCGGTTAAAGGCTTTGAATCGCCTACCCGTATGTAGGTTCACCTTCAATAACTCTTCGTAACAAGAAGGTGAACATAGACGAGCAACTCATCATATCCATCAACACATAGACAATACAATAACGAACAAGTCTATTCCAAACGAGCCTAAATCGACTGATGTCTCCCCTCTCGGTTCTAACGTCGATTAATTAGGTTAGAATGGTGATCAATCAACTAACCCTAGAATTCGCACAACTCGCATGGATTGAACAATTATCAAACACGTAATCGAAAACGAACCAAAACAACCATCCCCTATCCATAACTTTTGGAATTAGCCACTCATTGCAAGTTCAACACAAGAATATACATCAACCCAAGCAAACATCATCATAACAAAATGAGAAAATAATTGCTTACGATTAATAAGAAATCCAAAGTCGAAGAACAACGAACAATCCAAATCCAAGAGCTAGAGTAAGAGTTTTTACTCTCCCAATCCAATCCAAAATGAAAATCAAAGAGAAAGATGTGTTTTCTAGAGAGAAATTTCGAAAATACAAAGTCTGGAATGGGTGAAATATGCTCTAGGCTCGATCTAATAAGTCTCCAATTCAAAAATCCGAGAAAAACGCCGCTAGGGGTTAGCAGCGCTAACCCCTTAGCGCCGCTATGGTGCAACCTGCTGTACCGTCTGGGGTTGTTAAGCCAAGAACGCCGCTACTTGGACCGGCCATAGCGGCGCTAAGGCCTTAGCGGCGCTAAGGCCTGAGCAGCTTCAAAAACTTGATATTTCGAGCTCGTATGCTCTCGGCCAGTATTTCTCGGGTTCTGCCCGAGCTATGAACCCAATCTTCGCATGTTCAGGTCGTACGAACCAACCTGGAACTCTTAGGAACCGGAACCGAATACCTCTTTCAACATCTGAAACCTGAAACCACAACAACCAAACAAACACAAAAGCAAGAGAAAATAGGAGGAAAAACAAAGAAAATACTAAACACAGCAAAATAATATTATAACACGAGAAAGCGACTAAAAGGACCGGAAAATCCTAAGAAATGACCTAAATCGGGGGAAGACACATAAAATACCGACAAAAATGGGACAAACACCCGCACAAGTGTTCGACTCTCGTCCGACCGTTGGAGCCGAACCACCGAGGTGTGTGCTCGTGCACCAAGTCCGAGTCAAACCACCGAGTGCGTGCCCGTGCACCGAGTCCGTCCGATCTACCGTCTACGTGATGTTTTCGTTAGTCGTGGTCCATGCACGCCCCTGCGTCAGTGACCGTGGCACCATTTCAAATTGTGTCAGTCGAGTTCGTGTCGGCCCCGAGTTGCCACGCCGAAGCTGGACCACGATTAAACCGAGCTTCACATAGTTAAGAGAAAGATCGACTGGCTCCGAGTGAGCCGTCGGTCCAGTTCAGTCGAACTAGTGCGGGCAGTCCAGACAGTTCAAAGAGAAGTTCAACCAAATCAGTCCCGGCAGTCCGGACGGTTCGGGAGTTCAGTTCAGAAAATTGGTTTGAGCGTGAACCGAGAACCCAGTTTTTCTGAACGAGTCAGATAAATTTCAGATATATTTAAAATCCAGATATAAATTTCAGATAAATTTCAGTCAGATTTTAGCTCAGTCATATTTTAGTCCAGTCATAATATAGTCTAGGCTTAGAAATATTTCAGAGAACTCTAGTATGCCTCAAAGACAATAAGTTTTCAAAATAAGCTCGTAAATCCCTAAAATGATTTTTAAAGCCGAGTGAGCGAACCTAGACATATCAGATAATAAAATTCGAGTTTTTATTCTGAGCCCAGTACTTAGAATATTTCGCTCATAATTTTTGTAGCTTGAGGAGAGTCAAGCCTCCACCTACTACATAGTATATTTCAGCATTTGCATTCGCCAGCTTCCAAGTGGGGACCACTGTACTCTGTATCTCATCGCTTTTAATAATTTACCATGTCTGAGGTATATATGTGATTAAATTGAAGGACGAGACGGATTCGTGATCTCGTTTTGGTCAATATTTCACTATTTCAGTTATGACTTGGATGTGTGTGATTAGGGCCCGTCCTAAGTCTAGCGTCCAAATGGGGTGATTAGTGCCTTTTCTGGATTTTTGTGAGAGGGGACCCCTAGGTTGTGGTTGGTTCAATGGAGGGGAAGAGAGGGGAGATATTTTAATGGAAGGAAAGGAAGGGGAGGGGAAGTGATGTAAAATAATTTTACCTTGTTTGGAGGGATTATTTAGGAGGAGAAGAGAGGGAAAATAGTAAACCTTGTTTGATTAAAAAATTAAAGGAACGAAAAATAAAATTAAAATGACAAACTTACCCTTAATGAAATAAGATGAAAAATTAAAAACAATTGAAAGTAGGGGCTAAAAGGTAATTTTATATCATCATAAAACACTTCCCCTCCAAATCCCTCCAATTTTGGAGGGGAGAAGAAGTGAGGGAGGGGAGGAAAAATTACTTAAAATTTTCCTTTCCCTCCCCTCCTAATTGTGCAACAAACAAGTGAAAACTAAAATTCTCCCCCCCGTCCCCTCCAAATTCCTCAAACCAAACACTACCCTAGAGTGTGCACATGTGTACCAGTTTACCGTTATCCCATAGTTAGCCCCGTTTATTTATATATATCCTAATTTCATGATTTGTTATTAAATGTGCGGAATATTTAGTGTCGGTTCCGGCGGAGCATCGTTGATTCTTTTATGCTCACGCCTCCCCACTAACCATTTTTCAGGTGACAGAATCCCGCGTGGCACGTGAGCTGAATGTGGTGGGGGTCATGAACAAGGATATTTGTGCTATGACATGGTTTGTATTGTTTGAATTATTTATGTCTTAGTTTATGTTTAGTTTATTGTCTGTTTGTCTTTGATGTTTGAACTTATAATTGCTTCCGCATTCAGAACAATATTTCAGAATTTCAGACTAGTATTTCAGGATTTTAGAATTTCAGACTAATATTTCAGGATTTTAGAATTTCACACTAATATTTCAGTATTTCAGGTCTTCAGACTAGTATTTCAGCATCTAGAATTTCGTCTATGCATGCTTAAATCCTGAGATGTTCATGACGCCTTATTAGAGTAATGAATTATACTCGGTTGTATGCCAGTAGTTTGAAGATATATAAATAATTAAAGATTTAAGATTAAAGTTGAGTAGCATCCCGCATATTAAAGTTAAAGTATATTCGATAAGTAAATCAATGCTTTTTATTTATAGCGCAAAAGACTTACTCCGATTTTAGTAAGTTTAGGCGATGTGTTACAGTATAGATTAATTTTATTGAACATTTGATGAAGTAAGTGTATTATAGATTTTTTGTAAGTACTACGAGGTTAACGACTAAATTTTTTTTTTTGTCTCTGATCCAACCTCGTACCTTGAATCTAATGATTGATATTAATTGTTGA